ATTTTATAACATTCTTTGTTTTATGTATTTTCAGAAATATCGATCATTATAGTTAGATTTATGTTTTTAAACATAGTACACATTTCTTTCTCTAATCTTTGATATGTGGTATAATTTTAGTTGTATGAATCTGCGTTTTGTGTACGTTATAAACATTTCCGTTTGTCAAAATAAAATGGTAAAAGTTTAAGAGTTGATGTATTGATATGATGCCTGATTACACGTTTAATTAATCTTGCAATGAAAAATGATGCAGTTTTTAACTTAGAGACAGCAATGTTTTTACTAATTTAAAAACTTTTAAGTTTATAAAACCGAGAAGAGAAGACCGTGTGATAACTAATTTTTTGTTGTTATGTATTAGAATTTCAAATAGCTCGAAATTGAGTTAATTGATAAATTTAAATTTAGTAGTTAAATTGTACTTTGGATTTAGGAGATAAGTAAAAACCGATATATCGTCAGTTTATGATGTTTGCCAACAAGATTGACACACACAGTTTTCTTTTTTAACACAAATACGTTTTAATATACATACAACAGTACAATTTACAATAACAATTATTACAAACAATGATTTATAAACAAAAGTTTCACAAACTTACAAACAATATAAAGTCTTATTTCTAGTCTACAACTTCTTCGATATCTTATCGAGGGTTCACGATGAGTGAGTCAATTACGAGTTGACGTAAGTACGAATCGCTTAACGGGAAGCGAGCTAGCTTTGTCCTTTGCCATTCACGCCAAGTTTTCCACCGTTGAAGTTAGGTAATATTTTCGTAAAAGTATTAATATCCGATGTGAATCCACTGAAGTTAAATGGTTTGTAATTTTCGAAATTTATAAATATTCCTGGTCAAATATCTGAAGTTTTCCGATTGGTGAGCGTTATAACAATCACAGTTATAGCTTCTGAAGTTTACAGTACACTGACTATAGCGAACTAATAATATATACTCTCTTTGGCGCGTCCGTCGCGTTTGTTATATTTATAGCCGTGGGAAGGTTTTCTAGAAAATTCAGATTATGTAACAATACAATTTAAGTGTTTACGTACGCACATATATTGTTGATTCTTACTCTCGAGAATCTTCTACAACTTTGGAGAATAGGCGGGAATTTCACAATACATATTTAACAGTATAAGCTATATATATTTCTAAATATAAATTTATTCTAAACAAACGTCGATATCAAAAGAAATACACAACAACAAACTCGTTACAGCTTGAAATATAAATAATAAACATTTCTATTCTAACCATGAGACGATTAGTATAAATAACATTCATATAGAATGTAATTGACACATTGTGTTTGTTTTTTTATTATTCGTTTTAACAACAATATCAGGCAGTATTATTTTAATTTATTGTTAATTTATGTACACAGCTGATCGAAAACTCTTCTCACCATATTAGCTGCATTCACTGAACCAATATCGTTGATATAGATGTTTACTTTAACATCGGTTGGCATCCCTGGAATGAAGATGTAGACATATCTGTATTAGAAATAAAGGTATCTTCAAATAATTTAAAATCGAACAACTCTCATGGGTTAATAATACAAACAAAGGAAGTTTGTTTTGCTTCATCCCTTCTAAAAATCAATATAAAAGACATTCTAATGCTCATAATATTCTTTTTTTTTTCACTTCAAGTGAAATCTAAAGTCGTTTCTGTACAGTCTCGTTCAGACAAATAATAGAACTGTTGTGTACATATTGCTCAGTTTTCCAGACTAAATCTGATTATTACTTTTTTTTAAAAAATTGGAGCTGATATTGAGTTATTCCTAGATCTGAGATCAGCTGAACTGGACAATATGCTATCCAAAAATATTTTTATTTAATCTCAATATTCACGATTCTCTGTAATGAGGAATTTATTATTTAATCATTGAAACACAATTTCGGGCGAAAACAGCGCCAAAATAATTTTATATATTGGGGTTGTCTTCTACGAATAATTATATTTTATAGTTTATAGGAATAACTTAATGTGCCCAAGAGTTTCAAACTATAAGGGTGTAGTTTGCGTATTTTATTAAATTTGACATTCATGCTACTCTCACAACAGGACTGGTTTTCGTAAATGTCTGTCTTTTAACTCCTGATGGTATGGTAAATAATATACGTTGAAGATAAAGCATTGTCGACAAGTTTTCAATCTGAAGAATTCTTTAAGTCACGTTTACGTGAATCTAGTATTGATAGTGATATTGTCTCATTATAGATGAATATTCTCTTGTTTAGAATACCATGTTGAAAGAAAGGATAGAAATTAACAATAGCAACGCTTTTGAAGGACAACAAATTTGAAATGTTGCACCTTTAACATACTTGAATAAGGTTTTGTTTGTTCGTTCTTAATTAAGCACAAAGCTACACAATGGGCTATCTGTACTCTGCTCACCACGGGTATCGAAACCCGGATTTTAGCGTTGTAAGTCCGCAGACATACCGCTGTGCCACTGGGGGGACTTGAATAAGGAAGTATGTTATGCTAATATAATAACAAGTTGGCAAACAATGATTTATAAGTATAATAAAGTGATCTATTGCCCCCCAGTAGCACAGCGGTATGTCTGCGGAATTACAACGCTAGAATCCGGGTTTCGATATCCGTGGTGGGCAGAGCACAGATAGTCCATTGTGTAGCTTTCTGCTTAATTATAAACAAACAAACAAACAATTGATCTATTTTGGGGTAACATACTACTTGTTTCAACATAACATTGGTCTGTCTTATTCAGGTATCTTAATAAGACAGACCAATGTTCTGCAGAAATATGTAATGTGTTCCCCAAAAATAAATCACTTGATTATGCTTGTGAATCACTGTTTGCCAATGTATTATTAGTATCTTGGATATATTTATAAATAAGCACTGAAAAATGCGCCAAAACAGCGAACAAAGTTTTTGATTTGCTGTGTAAATGTAAGTACATGACATATGTAATGTCTACTGGGAGAAAGTAAGATATTTTAATGTTCCTTAATTAAATCTCGTTCATTTTTTAGTCTTAATCTGATGAGATATCAGCGTGTTAGTTCTGCCTTGTAACTTCTACGTTGGTCAAATCAGTATAGATATGAACAAGCTACAAGACATATTAATATTATTATTTACCATAACATATACAGACTCTAATCGTGATTATCAATTTTTATGTTTGTATAAGATGTTATTGGTCTTATCTGTTAGTGTAATATGCTTTTGACGCTAAATAAATGTTATTAGTATCTAGTAATTTAGAATAATGTTATAATAATTTTACTTTAATTAAAGAATTTTATCTTTACACATTTAAATGTTAGGAACATTTTAACCTAACATTTTAAAACTATTACGCCATATCAAACATTCAGTAGAAAAACGAATTCATTATGTTATACAATAGCTAATCTTCGGATGAATGTTTATTAGAAATACAATTACAATTATTGTTTTGTCTCGTAGGTATCGTTATTTCTGCTTAGCTAACACTGAATTAGGAATAAAACAAAGATTTTAGAGTGTATTTATTATTAAACAATCTACAGCCTTTGTTTCTTTGAAAAAAAAAAACACATTAAATTTGACAATAAAAAAGATTGTTTTTGTGTTGAAAGATATATTTCCTTGAGAAAATTAAAGAAAATACATTTACGTTACCCGAGGTACAATTTCATCAGGATGTAGTGTAAGAGAACGACGAAATTCAAAGGAAATAAATTTATTTACAACTTACCTTTTCCATAGGTTGGCCAAGCACGCTTGTCGTACTTCTCTAAAATTTCATCTAGAAATGCCAACCGATGGGTAGAGTACTGGGACGCTGGTTCAGATGAGCTTGGCAGAAAATCAATTTTTTTTATAGCAGGAGACAGTTCACTGAAACATAAAATTAGTCGTGAATAAGATGGTATGGATAATCAGAAAGTGATAGCATATCTATCTCTAAAAATTATTTGTTAATATTAACACAAAGTCCGTAAAGTTGTTCTTTATTTCTGTTACGGTGTACAAGTGTTCTAGTGGACCACAGAATATTCTTGATTGATATATGATGCTACATGATAACTGACCCACAATGTTTGTTTTTGCTTCTTTTTTTTTACATATTACAACTTTTATTCTAGGATCACAGCATATATTTGTTGCTATCGTCTCTTCTCTGTAATTCATTCTTATCTCTGTTAGCAAAAATGTGTCTTATTGTACCTCTGATAAATCCAATCTGCATTTGCAGCAATCCAAAACTGAGCTCAATGTATTTTAGTAAATATCACTGTAATTACAGTTTTACGTATTTATTAACAGTCTATTTTTTGAATTTTTTTTTTTATAGATTATAATCTGTACGCAGACTTCTGTATGAATTAGTCTAATACTATAATTTTTTATTGAATTAGTAGTTGTTTAGTGTGAAGCTACACAGTGTGCTATCTGTGATGTGCCCACCACGGGTATCGAAACCCGGTTTTTAGGATTATATATCTTCTGTCTTACCGCTGAGACACTGGGAGACTTTTTCATTGAACTGCAATGCGTATACATGCTCATGAAATGTAGTATACTTGAATGAAGCAGCTTGAATATTTGAAAAGAAAGTAGTGAAACGGTGATTCACTGATGTTATGTTATCATGCCTTTTAATGAAATGCTTAGATAATTAATGATATTCAGTTCTGTATATAGTCCACTATTTTATATGTACAGACGTTCTCCAGAATTGAGTGTAATCTTGAAGTAACATTGCGTTACCCATGAACACACTCTACTCCAAAAGGAAAATCATAGTACTTAATGTTATAGAAATCTGTGTTAGAGTTTCAATGACTCATTTATGTGTACAGACGTTCTCCAGAATTGAGTGTAATCTCAAAGTAACGTTGCGTTACCCATGAACACACTCTACTCCAAAAGGAAAATCATAGTACTTACTGTTATAGAAATGTGTGTTAGAGTTTCAATGACTCATTTATATGTACAGACGTTCTCCAGAATTGAGTGTAATCTCTAAGTAGCATTGCGTTACCCATGAACACACTCTACTCCAAAAGGAAAATTATAGTACTTAATGTTATAAAAATGTGTGTTAGAGTTTCAATGACTCAATGAGACTCGAGTGAAAAGTGAAGAAATTGATAGCATTAGGTACGTTTTGTGCTAATCTGTGATGTAAGAGTTTCTGGTCAGTTTCTTGTATAGTAGTGTTGTTATGAAATTAGTTTTTAATTATTTTAATTCTGATCTATAGTATCAGCTCCCCTTTATTCTAGCCAGTTTCTTGTACAGAATTATCGTTATGAAGTTAGTTTTTTTAATTATGTTAATTGTGATTTGCATAGTCAACTTCATTTCGTCCTAAAATAAACCTTTCATTAATCATGAATTTACATAACTTCTATCCAGTATAAAAATAAAATCTTAAATATGGTTCTGAAGTTAATACAAAAATTATACAGGCATTTGATAACTTTTTATTAAAACTTAGGTACTGACAATTATAAATGGCATGTCGTACATACAGTATGTTGCTTGATGCCGCGCCCATAAGTAAAACTTAATAGCTTCATTCAACCGTTTGAGAGGGATAAACACGTTATTATGTATATATATATTTCTTGTTCCTAACAATCCTGTGGGAATTTATCAATTATCTCAAGAATAAACCATGAAGCAACGTTTTTGTTAGCAATGGATTCATGATAGGGAAACCAAAGTTTAATAATGAAGATAAAGACGGTTGATAAGACATAAAACATTTTATTTGCAAGATTTGAATGTTTTATCAACGGTCTTCATCTTTATGAGTAAACGTTTTTGTTGATAAACATTTGTTGACAGCTACAAACGGATATAGTACATAGAACTGGTCAACGTGTTTGTTGACAGCTATATAATTATATAATGAAACAACAAGCATATTTAACCAACGTATTTTATGAAATAATTTCATCAAAGACACCAGTAAATATCAATACTTTAAACATAAGCAGTTTCTGAAAGTACAGTCCAGTAAACGATCAAGGGTTTTCAATGAAAAGTCGCTAGAGCTGAATCACAAAACACGCGATATTTTGTTAGAACCAATAGCCTATCGTTGATTAATGTAATAAATGTATTATTAGCAACCATAAAACTTTATAGCTTACAAGACAAATGTTGTTACTGCTAAACACTCGTCACGATATATTGATGCACTTGCTACAATCTTCGTATCATTTCAAACGAAGTAAGACAAACTTTCTCATGTTTTAGCTCAAATCTTAATAGAGCCAGTGTAGTTCTTTCTTAAACAATCGTAGTTTCTAACTGTAGTTAAGGTACGTCGTGTGTTGAAGCGTAGAAAATTCACGTCAGTAAAACCATTACTATGGCTATGTATACATATAGGTACTTGTAAAAGAAGCTTAGTTGAATGTTTGACAAACGTAATAACAAATAATTAAGATATGTTGAAAGGTACAGTGTTTCTTAATTGTTAATACTAGCAAGTGAGATTTTTAACAACGTAGCGAAATCGGCGATTTAATATTTCATTTGATAACGACATGTCCTGTTTTCACAAGTTAGATTGATATATCGGACATCAAGCATAATGAATTAAGAAGCCCGCGTACGAGAAACATTTGTAGAAATAGTAATCAAATTATATTTCACATTAGTATTTCCTCAGTTTATTCGTAAAAATACAAAATAATCTTTGATCGTGTGTATGTTTGTAAGAAAAAAAATATTTTAACAGTATCGAATAATCCGTTTTATTAACGCATTTAAAATATGCACTAAAGTAGCCATTAATGTTCATTGTTCTCGAATCACTGATTTATCACAGCACTGCGAAAGCAATTATTACAAACGAATGATGAATTCACTTTCATTGAAACTGAAATAAAAACATTCATTTCCGACTAGTTGTTGTTGTAGTGATGGCTTTTATGTCTCTTAGTTATTCTCTTTAAGAAAACATAATAATATATTACATCGTTAAAAGTTGTTTTGTTTTGACGATGTACTTCCTGCCTTAAAGTGTATATATATATATAATGTGCATCTCTCTCTTCCTTTCAGCTAAAAATCAACGTACATAAATTGTTTGTTTGTAATTAAGCACAAAGCTACACAATGGGATATATGTGCTCTGCTCACCACGGGTATCGAAACCCGGATTCTAGCGTTGGAAGTCCACAAACATACCGCTGTGCCACTGGGGGGGGGTAAATAAATATCATAGCAACTTTAACTGTTATCCTGTTGTTTAAAACTGTTTCGAAGTCTGTAGTTCAGTAAAACAACATCCTAATTTTCATATTAACGACTTTTAAAAATATCTACAGAACCTCAAAATTTTTAATAATCGACAAGAAGCGTATTTTATAAAATACTTAGCTTAAGAATTTTTGATATTCTTTAATTGTAAATTACGGTGAATAGTGACATCATCTCTATAATAATTTACTATTTTATGTATAAATGTTTAAATGTTATTTCACGCCACTTAAACCAACTATAGTGTGATATGACATGTTGATATAGCATAGTGTCAAGTGAGAATCTCGTAACGTTCCTCGAATTAAAATGACATTTACACTTATCGGAGGGGCAATCAAACTGTTTTTTGAAATGTATTAATAAAAATGGTCAACCTGACAGTATAAAACCTGAGGTTTTTTCTGGCGTATCTTTTAAAATATACAATAAATAAATAAATGCAGAAATTTCCTTTTACGTGAATTTTTGATTTTACGAAAAAAAGGCAGCAACATTTGACTTTACGCTTATAAATATCATGTTAACTAGGTTATAAATACTGCAGGATGTTTATTAGTTGCGGATAGTGTAGTATTAGAGCTATAATATGACATATGAAAGATTTAACCAACTACCAACCATAGGGAGGAAACGTGGGGACAACAAACACTTTTTTTTCTTTAAGGTTTAGAGGGTTTTTCAGTCCTTTTTAATTCATCATATAGTAACCTAATAATATTATTGTGAATAATATTTTGGTATTACGCCTAATTCATTATTCGATATTATACAGCGTACAAACTATTTAATAATTCTATATGTATATTACAGATTTCTTTTTCATCACAAATAAAATTGAAAATATCATCTGTGACATCGAGGCCTAATACATTCCTTGATTCGCCCTACCTTTTGCTGGTTACGGCCAATCAAGGAATGATTAAGCGTCTACGTCACAGCTGATATTTTCAATTTTACCTTTGGTGAAAAAGAAAATACTTCTATAGCATACACATAGACTTCTTACTGTGTACCTTATTACTATTAATTACCGTATATTAATTTTTAATATTATAATCACCTTATTTTTAACAACAGATAGACAATAAATAATTTTTTTTAAATAATATTTCTTCCACTATTGTTTTACGGTTGAGGAGTTCAACAAAAACCTTGGCACAGGATTTCCTCCTTTCAATAATATCTAGGAACGTTCTGTTTGATTTAATTCCTTTCTGCATCACCTTTTTCAAGTGACGTTGCTTAGTATAAAGTAATATTGAAGTTATATTATGTAATGTTACTTGATTTTAAGGGGCGTTATACGTGTATTATATGATGTTACTTCACATAAAATTATGTTAAAGTTTGGTCAGAAACAAGTCTGTCTTGAAGCTATCGTCTTTCTTCGGCCATTTCGTTATATCTCTTAGAATTCGAGATTGACTCTAAGCACGAGAGGCAATAATTTGGCTCATACTTAAAACAGCAGCAACAGGATTTGAGATGATACATTTTGTAGCATATCGAGGCCATATGGCAATTACTTGAGATGTAAATAACGTCTGCCATAATGCAACATTGTTGCAAAATATTGAGTTTTGAAAAAGAATTAAAAGCAGACTTTTATATGA